CTGTCCCTCTGGAATAAATTCTTTGTGAATAACTCCTTTGCTGTCGTAGAAGCACACCAACAATGTCTTCACTTTAGACTTTTGAAGACGGATTTTTTTGCCTTTTGGTGGTGATGATGTCTTCCACTGAGCATTTTAGCGTTTAGTTGTGGGATCATAGCAGAAAATCCATATTTCATCTTCTGCAACAATCAGATTTAAGAAATCTTTATTTCTGTGACACATTTTGATGATGTCTTTTGCATACTCAACACCCTGATGTTTTTGGTCATCAGACAAAAAAATGTAGAAACCAGCAAGCAACATTTTTCTTGCCCAAATCTTCCACTCAAATTTTATGAATGGTCTCTCTTTTAACATCAAATTCATCCGCCATCATCCTCACAGTCGAACAATGAATATCTTGTTTCCGTTCTCTGACTTTTGCAGTGAGTTCCTCATTACAAACAGAAACTGGGTGTCTAGGTCTAGTTGCATTAGTAATCTTTTCTACACCACTTTTGAATCATGAATACCACCTGAAAATCTGTGTACGAGATAAACAATTATTCCCATAAACTTGTCACATCAATTCAACTGACTCAATGGCGCTTTTTCTGAGTTTTAAACAGAATTTAATGTTAGCTTTTTGCTCCATGCTGATTTCATAACAATGCACATCTAACTAGGTCAATAAAATGGCGGCTTGTTTGTAGTCTGTTTATCAGGCGGTGATGCAAAGTTGCTAGGTTATAGATGAAGGTTGCCTCTTTGGATTCCATGCTTTGCTTCATATATGACATTTTTGTCTTGGCAATAAAAAATCAGTCTCATTACTTAATTGTCGGACCTTGTAAATGTATATGTGTGTGTGTATATACACACACACACAAATATATATATAGAAGAGAACTCAGACAGCACAGAAAAAAATACACAGATGCTCAATATTCTGCAGCTGAACATCTGTGGAATAAGAAATAAGAAACTTGAACTCGCCAAACTGCTAAACAACCACAGGGTACACGTGGCTGCCCTACAAGAAACCCTGCATAAAGACTCTGATCTGCATCTCACTGGATATACTAGTTATGCCTGTAAGTGCAATGACTGCCGGGGCATAGTGACCTATATCAGAAATGACATACAAGGAGATGTAACAATGCTGTCGACATCTCACCCTACAGATGTGCAAAAAATAACTATCTGGCACAATGGAAGCAAATATACGATATACAACGTGTACAGCCCACCTCAGACAACATGCAACATACCAGAACTATACAAGACACAGTACCATAAAACCCTTCTTGTTGGTGACTTCAACGGACACTCGCCACGTTGGGGTTACCCTGACTACAATAGCACAGGGAAATACATCGAAGATACTTGTGAAACAACTAACCTATTAGTGCTGCAGGACACAGAGTCTACACCTACACTGTTACACAGGGCCCACCTATCTCTCAGCCGACCAGACCTGACCATCTGCTCATCCGACATAGCAGACGCAAGCTATCCCCAAGTCCTGGATGACATAGGAAGTGACCACAAACCTATACTCACAACTGTAAGCTCCACTGCTAAATTACGCTTCAAGCAGAGAACCCGTTGGAATTTCCGAAAAGCAAACTGGAAACTATTTCAGGAAACATCTGACTGCCTCCTGGGAAGAATTGACAACAGCTGTGTGGAAACTTTTTGTGAAGACATAACACAAGCAATCCTGAATGCAGCGTCGAAAGCCATCCCAAGGGGCAGCCGGAAGGCATATAAACCTTTTTGGAATCAAGAAATTCAAAATACTATATCTGAAAGGAATAAAGCAAGAATATTGCTCGAAACTGCACGTTCAACAGAAGCAAAGATCCAATACAATAAAGCATGTGCCAGAGTAAAGCTTGTAGTTAATAAGGCTAAAAGAGATAAATGGACAGAAACTTGCTCCAACTTAGACCTTAGGCAGAATGGAAATAAAGCATGGACTTTAGTTAAAAACCTCTCTGGAGAAAGTAGAAGGGTGAACCCAAAACCAGTGACAGATGGGAGTAAGACAATCACTGAAGACAAGAAGAAAGCAGAACATTTCAATCATTATTTTGCCTCAGTTAACAGAGCAGGTAAGCTGTCAGAACTCAATAGAACACAGCTCTCTCAGTTGAAGAAACAAGAGAGAGCTCCAACAGCCAGCGACTCCCTTTTTGAAAATGAATTTAGCATGGATGAATTAGAGCAAGCCCTGAAGAAATTAAAACCTAGAAAATCTCCAGGCCCAGATAAGATCCACAACGAAATGCTGCTACATCTTGGCCGGTCTGGGAGAGAAGTAGTTCTCAGGCTTATTAATAAAACTTGGAGGTCAAGCAAACTTCCAAAGGCATGGAGGAATGCATATATCGTCCCCATTCTTAAAACCAAAAAGCCTCCAGATGACCCCAAAAGCTACCGCCCGATATCCTTAACATCATGCTTGGGCAAAGTTGCAGAAAGAATGATAAACAGGCGCTTATATTGGTTCCTTGAGAGTTCTGGTGTTCTATGCCATGAACAGGCAGGCTTCAGAACCAACAGCTGCACAGAAGACCAGCTGTTCAGACTGACACAAAGAATACATGATGGCTTCCAGAATAAGAAACACACAGTGGCAGTCTTTGTCGACCTCCAGCAGGCCTATGACAGAGTATGGAGAAAAGGTCTCCTGATGAAGATGATGAGCATAGGAATACATGGCAGATTATATAACTGGGTGAAATACTTCCTGATAGATAGAACAATCCAGACTAAGATGCACAACGCAATCTCTTCTAAAGAAGTCTTAGAGGAGGGCTTGCCACAAGGCTCATCATTGAGCTGTACACTATTCCTAATCTTTATCAATGACCTGCCAGAACAAATCAAGGCCGAAAAAGCCTTGTACGCTGATGACCTAGCAATATGGCAGAGTCATGAAAATGTGGAAAGTGGAGCCCAAAGACTGAATGGAGACCTTAGAAGACTGCATGAGTTCTGCCAAAGATGGAAACTCAAGGTTAACTGTGCAAAGACGGTCTACACAATCTTTACCAAAAGCCACCAAGTAGCAAGGAAGAATATTAACCTGAGGTTAGACAAACACCAAGTGATGAAAGAAGAGCATCCCACATACCTTGGAGTCACACTTGACCGGCAGCTCAGCCTCAAGAACCATATTGAAAACATCAGGAATAAGGCATTGAGGCGGTTACAGTTATTAAAGAGACTTGCAGGTACATCATGGGGATCAGACAAGGAAACTCTGAGGGGCTTATATCTAGGATATGTTCGCTCTGTGATAGAGTACAACAACTCACTGCTTACAACTTGCTCCAAAACTAACCTTGAGACTCTTGACAGAGTACAAAATAATGCCCTCCGATTAATCTGCGGAGCTATGCAGTCTACACCAACTGCTGCATGTGAAATCCATACAAATGTGGAACCCCTCGGGTTGCGGAGAGAAAAAGCCACTTTAGAAATTTATGAAAGATGCGTTAGGAAAAATTGTAACCATCCTAATAGACATCTTGTAGAAAACTGGGAATCCAAACAAAGAATAAAGCACAAATCGGTTTTACACTGTGTTAATGAAATTCAGGCCAGATACCACCTCCCAGAAAGACGTCAAGGAATTCAGAATGTTGCAAGAAACCTACCACCACATGCTCGCTTTAAAGCTCCAGAAGTCTGAACTAAATTGGTAGGCGAGGAAACCAAACAGTCCGACCCAATCGCTCTTATGAACTCATCACTAAAGACCGTTGATTCTTACCCCCAAGAATGGATACATGTCTATACTGATGGATCAGCATTTAAAGCTACCATTAAAGCAGGTTACGGAATCTACATAGGTTATCCCGATGGATCTGTTGAAGAGATTTTTGATGCATGCGGAGAATTCTGTTCAAACTATGAAGCTGAAATAATTGCACTGGAAACAGCAGTATACCACCTAAAGACTGTAATGGATGTTTACCCCTCAAAGGTCCAAAATATTGTCATCTTCACAGATTCAATGTCTGCCCTTCAAGCTCTGGAGGGCAGTGAACGCTGCAGAACTGACATAGCCAAGATAATCCTGGATGCTGATCAGCTTATTACCTCATACAACATCAGAATAGTGATGCAGTGGATTCCAGGTCACTCCGGCACACCAGGTAATGACAGAGCTGACAGATTGGCAAAGAAAGGAGCAACACAAGAACAACCACCTACAGCGACAACCCTCCAGACAGCAAAAACACTGATAAGAGCTATAAACAAAGAGACCTGGTTGAACAGATGGGCCATGGGAGACACTGGAAGAGAGGTTTATAGACATATGTCTGGCCCTGATCCTAATGACAGCATTAACCATCTAACAAGAAGGGACCAGGCCACCATCTTCAGACTTAGAACGCAACATACTTCACTCAATGGACACCTAAACAGAATACAGCCACAACACTCCCCAGAGTGCCAGCTATGTAACTACCCCTACGAAACTGTTGAACACCATCTCTTTGAGTGCCCAAAGCTCAGTGAGACAAGAAGAACGCTACTCCCTCCGAGACCAGACAAGTGGAACACCTTGTACGGAGGAAAAAGAACAGCTTGTGAAAACATGCAAATTTCACTACATGGCATTGGGCCAAAGGGCGAAAGCTCATATGCTGCTGGATCGATAACAACAACAATATATATATATATATATATATATATATATATATATATATATATATATATATATATATATATATATATGTGTGTGTGTGTGTGTGTGTGTGTGTGCATTTATATATATATATATATATATATATATATATATATATATATATATATATATATATATATATATATATATATATATATATATATATATATATATATATGCATAAATAATATATATTTATATACTTTTAACAATAAAAATGAAAGATGAATCTATATCTGTATATTGAAAATATGAAATAAATGTTGCTTCAGTTATGGTTTATTGGTGAGGCTGCTCAATGAAAGGTTTCTTGTCACACCGCATCACTTAATGGATTTAATGGCTGCAGAGTCTGGAGAAGAAAAAAAATGTGACAAAATCAGTGTGTAACAGACGAGAAGATGAAATAAAAGATACATCCAGTTAAATATTTAACATCATCAATTAAAATAGAAATCATGCAGCAAATGAAAACTAAATTCTGATGACATAGATTGCAACAACTATGTGGAGCACTAGATTTACAAAATAATATTCCCATCTCCCGTACAGTTTTTTTTGTGTGTGTAGAAAACAGATTACTTGTTTATTTAAAAAAAATCTTTTTATGTGTTACATTTCACCTGCTTTACAGGTATCTATTCTAGAGCAGCTAAGAGCACTCCTAACTTCACTCCCCACAGTCATCTGATATTTTAACCCCTCTGCCCCATGTACCAAAAACAAAAACAAAAAAAAGGGATGTCCTTGTTAGAATTCCAGAACAAATCTGTAAAAAAAACAACAATTTTTACACAGATCACTAATAAATGTGTTACAACTGTATTTGTCTACATTTTAAAATTTTGTTTTGAAAAATATAGAAATTGCAAGGGAGTAATAAATAAACATGACTAGGGTGAAGCATTAAAAGGAATACATCTCCCTGGGCCTAAAAGACACACATGTATCAGGTAACTAATGCTGTGATCCTTTGACCTTTATCATTGAGGATTGCCAAAAATAAATCTAATATCAACTTGGCCTGAAAAAAAGCAATTAAGCTCAAAGAAAAACCTCAATAAATGCTATTGATAGTTTAAGTTTTTGTATCCTAGCCTCCTAAATGTTTCTGCAGGTGCTAACTCAGCCAACAATATTTACTATGTGTCTCCTAAACAGGTGACTATATACAAGAGGGAAAAGTGACACTGGGAATTGAACCCAGCTGCAAGTGTCAGTTTTTCAGCTTTTCAGGGTGAAAGGGTTAAAACTAGGGCTGTACCAAATATTCGCTTCGGGGCCGAATAGTAGAGCTATTGACTATTCGGTATTCGGCCGAATAGTTGCGGTCGGGCCGAATACGAATAGTAGTTACCTTACACCCCCTTCTGCATACACTGCCTTAATGCTGACAACATGCAACGACTGGTTTTGTTCATAGCTAATGCAGCTTTCCTGAATTAACTAAACTGTCAGTGACAGTTTAGTTACTTGTTATAATACTTAGGATTCTTTCTTACTTACTTTACTTTTTCCTTCCACGTATGCCGCTAAGCGTTGTGGGGAGATGCAAGTTCCTGTCATAAGCAAGGCGGGCAGCATCTGATGTTCTGAGGCCACGCTTTTGGCAGGTTTCGGAGACCCCGTCAATCCACCGTTTCCTTGGTCTTCCTCTTGCCTTATATCCTGAGCTTCTTTGGTTGAAAATTTGTGATGTTATTTGATCATTTTTCATCCTGGTTAGATGTCCAAACCATTTCATTCTTTGATGTTCTATGTAGTCTAAACATGGCGTAGTTTTGACAGTGTTTCTAATGTCTATATTCTTTATCCTGTCTAGTCTGGTCTTATTCGCTGCTTTTCTTAGACATTTCATTTCACAGGCTTCTATTTTTCTTTCATGGGTCTTGTTGATTGTCCATGTTTGGCACTGGTAGCAGAGTGTTGGAATGAAGATGGTGTTTATCAATTGTCTTTTGGTCTTCATGGTTATATCTGGATGTTTAAGCAGAGGTGATAGTTGGTATGTGACAGCATTTGCTTTCTGTATTCTTGTTTCTATCTCTCTGTCCATTCTTCCATCCTCTGTAAATATACTGCCCAAGTATTTGAACTCTTTGGTTTGCTTGATTTTGGCACTTCCAACATTTATATTCAGTGGCCTGTGTGTTCTGCTGATCTTCATAACTTCTGTTTTTTCTGTACTGATTCTCATATTATGTTGTAAACAGCTGTTGTTGAGATTCTTTCATTCCTAGTTATTAGTTACCACAGACTGACTGAAGGATGCAAAACATAAAATGTTTTTAAATGTTTACTATTCTGTACGAATACCAACTAGACATGGAAAGAATAAACTCTGGCCACATCCAAGTCGATAATATGAAAATCAAACAAACGGAAACATATAAGTACTTGGGTGCAAACTTCAACTGCTCCAACATGCTAAGAGAAGAAATACAATCTAGAATACAATCTAGAAAAAAAAGAAAGTATACTATGCCCTTCAACATCTGCTAAAGTCAAAGTGTCTGTCTCGCAACACCAAATGAAAATATATAAAACGTTGATAAAGCCAGTCGTTTTATATGGCTCTGAAACTTGAAGCAGAAATAAAAGAGATGAGGCCTTATTACAGGTTTTCGAAAACAACTAACATTTGTCTAACAACAAATCTTTGGAGCCATCAAAGATGCTAACAGCGGGGAATGGAGAGTGAGAAGCAACAACGTAACACATAATCTGTTTAAATCACCATTGATCACTGGCATCATGAGAGCTAACAAACTAAAATGGTAGGGGCATATTGAAAAAATGTCAGATGACAGAGAAGTAAAAACTGTATACACCTGAGAGAGGAATGGGCGTAGACCATGAGGCAGACAAAAAAGAATTTCGAGAGATAATGTCCAGTCAGACCTGCAAACAACTGGTGTCACAAATTATGAAGATAAGGCCAGCCGAGTGATACCTGCAGCAGTAAACCTCAAGGGCTCAGAATGCTGAAGAAGAAGATGACTATTCTGTGCTACTTTATGTGAAGTAAAAGTTGAGCATACATTTGACATTATGAAATGTTTTTTTTTAAATTATATTTTTTTAGATATATTTTATACGCTATACACTATTCGTATTTGTATTCAGCCGAATAGTTGGTCCCGCTATTCGTATTCGGCCGAATATTGAAAATCACTATTCGGTACAGCCCTAGTTAAAACACTGCTATAATGCTTTTATTATTACTTGTTGCTCATCTGCCTCTGCTTCTCCACTTAATTTAACAAAATACAGTCTTAGCTTGCCAAATTCTGTACTTTACCTCTGTGATGCAGCTTCAATCTGATGTTATCCATATGCCTTGAAACCTAACTTCTGTACATTTCCTAAATTAATACCACTGCCCTAAATTTAGATATGGGCAGATCTATTTATTAGAAAATCTTACTTCTGTCTTTCTATTTTTCATGTTGAAGCCCAGTTCCTCACATTGTAGGCCAACAGCACTTATTATTTTCTTTAGTTCCTTCCAATGTATTGCTATCAAGACAGTGTCCTCAATTCAATATAAATTATTTACATTACAACAGCTGCCATATTGTGTAAATCTTCTATAGATCTTATACATGACTTGGAATCTGGCTGACACTCAACAAATAAGGAAAAGGTAAGACGGATTGCTATAGGTACCATTGGAATTGAATTCTTTGTTGACTGCTGAAGATGGAAATGGAGTGCTTATGGAAATGATCCCAGTGCTATGATGTTGGTTCTTATGTTTGAAGTATGGTTTACCAGAAACTTAAAAAGAAAGTAATTTGCAACTGCTTTCTTTTTGGCAGTGATCATAATAATTGATGACCATATTCATTGTCATTTTATGTCGGGAACATGAGATCATGACAAACAACTATTTTTTGTTTGCAAGAATATTTAGCTAAAATAAAATTAAGAATGCAGTCCAACTCAAAAAATAAAATTCAAGTTTTGTGCAACAAAATAAGACAGTGAGGAAGACAATTAAATACTTGTCCATTGTGACATTTCTGTTCCTGTTTGTTGCTAAAGACTGGCAAACATTTGCTTTAATGTATATATTTTTTGTTAAATTCCTATTAATATTTTTACTATTTTATAATTACTGGAGAAAAAAATCAGGGCTTTTGGACTTGAATGTTGTTGTTTTCATTGCTGAGCCAGAAGCACTTGAGCATGGCTCATTTGGCTCAGTGTCTTGAGCATCGAAGCCCTTGAGCATGGCTCATTTGGCTCAGTGTCTTGAGCATCAAAGCCCTTGAGCATGGCTCATTTGGCTCAGTGTCTTGAGCATCGAAGCCCTTGAGCATGGCTCATTTGGCTCAGTGTCTTGAGCATCGAAGCCCTTGAGCATGGCTCATTTGGCTCAGTGTCTTGAGCATCGAAGCCCTTGAGCATGGCTCATTTGGCTCAGTGTCTTGAGCATGGCTCATTTGGCTCAGTGTCTTGAGCATCGAAGCCCTTGAGCATGGCTCATTTGGCTCAGTGTCTTGAGCATCGAAGCCCTTGAGCATGGCTCATTTGGCTCAGTGTCTTGAGCATGGCTCATTTGGCTCAGTGTCTTGAGCATCGAAGCCCTTGAGCATGGCTCATTTGGCTCAGTGTCTTGAGCATCGAAGCCCTTGAGCATGGCTCATTTGGCTCAGTGTCTTGAGCATCGAAGCCCTTGAGCATGGCTCATTTGGCTCAGTGTCTTGAGCATCGAAGCCCTTGAGCCTTAGTGCCACTATACCATTAATCTGGAAAGTATGTGGCTTTTCTACCATCCCCTGGCTCGAACCCGAGACTGGATATGCGTGGGGACTGCCACCTGACATTCAACGCGCAATTAACTACACTGGAGTACCAGGCAACTTAAATGTTAAAGGAATATTCTTACAGTATCATGAAACGAGAAGGAAATAGTTAGTGGCATTCTTCAGGATCTGAATATCGAGGGGGACCTGCCCATGGACAGTATCCTTTCTCAGAAATTGAAATACTTTGGTGGCAGTGTTAACCACATCACCCCAAAAAAATCAGTTTTTCAACTTTTATAGGTGTCTGATGACATAATGACTTTAGGCAGTGACCAGTATGCATATATAACAGCTTTGGTATGGGTTGCAGCTGCACAAAGTGTTGACGTGGTGGGCGTAATTATGTTTACAAACACAATATTTTAATGTGGTGTTTTTTAAAGATATTATTTGAGGTGAATGAAAATCAGTTTTTTTGTTTTAATTGTCATAATAAACTGATGATGATGTCACTTTGCTCTCAGTGGCTGTGTCATAAAACCTCTGTTTTTCTGATCAAAGGGAAGGAATGTGGTCATTTATTTGCTGCATTTGTATTAAGTGAAAAATCACCTCTGCGCATAATTTTGCATCTAAATATGAAAAATCCTTCTTTTTTAATGACTTCAGGCAGCAATTACATCACAGCATGTCTGCTCGGTGGTCATAGGTTTCAATCTATTGGATTCTTATAAAGTCTCACCAAGACTCCCGATTTCCTCTGCTTTTTCTTCTCTTCATCTATGACAGTTTCAGAGAATTATAGCAATGCATGTCTTTTTAAAGGGAGCTGCCGTGGTCTAGCCGCTAGATGCTCGCCTGCGGATCAGAAGGTCGTGTGTTCAGGTCCTGACAGGGGCTGGACTTTTTTCAAAAATGACCTTGGCTCCTAGGTCGACCCAGCCTTGAGTGGGTACCAAGTACAGTCTTGCAAAGTAAAAGTGGCCGGCGTGATGCTGACATCACCCACTAAGTGCTGTTGGGTCTATAAAATATAGGTCTAGCCCTATATGCCTGAAAGCTTGGAAAAGGGTCGTTTACTTCTACAATGTCGTTTTGAAGAAATTTTCAAAAGGTCATTTTTTAGAATTTTTTGCGGTGAAAAGGGTTAAATACAATAACGGTTTCGAGATAACAAAATTGCAAAGTACAACTTCTGGAAGAAGAGACAGAATTCAACAAGACTGATGGTTGACAAAGGTTATTAAGAACACCCTGGGCTTGAAAGTTCATGAAGCAGGATAATAGGTAGGGGACTGAGTGGATTTCCAACATGCTGTGAGGAAAGCAGTGTTCTGCAGAAAACCTGCTATATGATAATGATGATTAATATTTTTTTCTAATAATCACTTAAACATGTTGCAGTAGAACGTAAATTTAAAAAAAAAGTAAGTTCACTAATTTTCATGGTCATAGTCTTGACAAGATATACATACAATTTATGACATAAGTTACCTGGGAAAGTCTTGTTACATTTTTCTCCATTATTAACTGATCATCTGTTGTAGTTTTTCGGTACACAGGATTATCAAAGTTGAATGACTTCCCATTTCTAGACTTATACTTTTTCAACAGTACGAAGGCAACCTATGGGAAGTTACATAGTATCTTTTATAAGGTGTGATATTAAAACTGAAACAGTCAAACTGAACATTAAATCTAATTTAATGCGGAAAACAAATTTAAATTAACAAATATTATAGGTCAAACAACTAGACTTCAAATTTAGAATTAGATTACTGTCTTTTGAATATTTAAGTGAATTACATATGCATACACACACACTTTTACAAAGTTATCAAAATATGTACTTAGCAAGAAAATAAACAAATTGTAAGCATTTTAAATACGTTTCATTAGATTTTGAATAAATCTGTGAGACTTCTGATTAATGGCCATTATATGGTGAGGCACAGACTCATGCTAAGCTGAAGAGAGTTGAGAGTAGGAACAGTGAAGAGACATGATCAAAACAGCTTCGATAACAGATTTACCCAATGAATCATTATTCATGCAGATGTATTATTATACTGACACACTGGTCAAAATAGTGCTTTTGCCAAGAACCCTCATACTCTCTCTGCCTCTCAACACAGAGCCATCTGTATATATAGATCAATGTATCATATACCAATAAAAATTGGAAATATTTTTGATGGGAACGGATTAATCATTCTCCCTTTATTTTTTGGGGAAAATATGTTTGGCATATATACAAGGAACCAGAACGAATTAAGGACGCATTCCAAAGTACCACTGTACTTCTATTTCCCATCTCTCACAGCACCACTCTCTGCATTTAGAATGTGTCTGTATGTATGTGTTTCAAATTAACTTAAACATATACGTATTAAACATATAACACATTCACTCACTATAAATGTAAGAAGTCCAAAAACAATCAAAATGATAATAACGATTCCAGCAATAAATCCAACACTCTCCTTCTTCTCTAAAATCTCAATGTAAGTTGTATTCACAGCTGTGTCTGGAAAAGTCTGGGGAACTTTAATATGTGATTTGACAGGTGTCGCTTCTGTGAGCATAGTCACAGGTTCAGAAGACTGAGGATGGTTTTTGCTGATGTTATCTGTATACTTCTGCTGATTGGCCTTGGTATTCATAGCTTCATCAGCTGAAGAAAGAAAGACACTATTTGATACATACATCATACTAGTACAGTCTATTAACTTTTTCAACTAAAAAATAGTACCCTTTATTTAAAACAGATGAATGCTGTAGAGCTGTGTACAGAATTACTAGAAAAACCACAATTCAACTAGAAAGCTTATTAACAGAAATATTCAAGCGCATCAAGCTGGTTTCATCAAAAGTCTTTATCAATGAAGAAAACAACAATACTTCATATAAATGAAAAATATTACGGTTACGTAAACCTTATTTGATATAAACAGGTAAATATCAATACTTGCTCATTTTAATTTTGCTATCATGAGGATTACTTCACTGTGGGATTATTTTATTTTATTTCTGCAGTAAAATATACCTTTTAATATGTTTGCTGATAAAGGCTTTGGTTGAAACATTTGCTCGTCTGTGTCATTTTGTCAGGCTTCCTTGTTGCATTTTTTGTTTATTCAGTCAAGCTGTTGTCTAACATATTCCTCAAAGTAATAGAAACATAATAATATTTCTCTAAATTCACCGGTAAAGAAACATAAAAATCCACTAATACCAGATTAGTAAAAAACAATGAAAATGTTAAAAAAAAAATAAAAAATTAATAATAATAATAATAATAATAATCAACATGTCTGAAAACACACTAATCCACAAATTAAACTAGCCACAGGTATCAGCAAGCAGTTCCACTCTAGCTATGCTATGTGAGAAAACAAACTAAACTGTTCTGCAGCAAGTAACTTTTAACAAATGAGAGATTTATGTGTTGTGGCATGGAACATCAATGCATGAATGACAACACTAAAGAAAGCAGGTTGACAAGGATTGGCATGGAACATCAATGCATGAATGACAACACTAAAGAAAGCAGGTTAACAAGGATTGGCATGGAACATCAATGCATGAATGACAACACTAAAGAAAACAGGTTGACAAGGATCATGGTTTTTTAAACCAGTCAGAAAGCCACTTGATGAAAGAGTTGATGATCCTCTACTGCTATTAAATTAGTACAAATGTGGGAGGAAAGAAGGTCACTTCTATCACATTTTGGCATACAGTGAATATGGCATCAGGTTTATAATTTCCTGACCAAATGGCAAACAGGGCAAGCTGTGGTTAATATCATGTTTGCCATGAAAATATTCCAAGATTGGGGTGATTCTGGGCCATGTACTTTACTGAAAACAGCTGAATGCACTAGCTACTATCCAGCAGACTTATATATGAAAGACGAATTAAGAATCAACATCATAGCACTCCAGACACTCCCATAAGTGCTCCCTTCCCATCTTCAGCAGCAAGCAAAGAGTTCCAACTCTGATGGCACCAGTAACTGTCTGATTGTTTATCCGCCTCACCCTTCCGTTGACTGTTGAGTGCCGGCCACATCCTCTGATAACTCCTTGCAACGCCATTCTCCTCAGACCATAATGATTTGGCTGTGCCTCCACACTATTTACTCACTCCCAAGGGGCCCTCACAATATCTAGTTGTCATATATCAATTTACCACCAAGTGGTGCAGAACCAGCCTGTTTATTTCCCAACACACTAGCATGACCTGGATAAAATATTCAAAGTATGCTGAAGTGATGCTTGCTACTTTGCATGGAGCATGCCATTTGTTGAACTTCTGATTTTGCAGCACCAGCAGGCCAGTCCTGGCACAAATGACCCAAAATAATAAGAACCCTACATAAGTCTGAAACTTGCCCGGACACTTTGACCCACTCCTCTACTCGCCCAATTTTATCAAGTCTGCACAAGTCTAATTGTATCTTCAGTTTGCACCATCCAAGACCTTCCTCTTTTCAGGGCTTCATGCAGGAGGTGCTTCTTGTCTGCAGCTACTCTGAGATTTGACTTTGCCTGCAGAACTTTGAGCTTAACTGCAACAGTAGGCAGTGCAAGTGTATATCACATACATACTACCGGGATATCTCTTGTACATCCCAGAATTACCCATATAGCTTCATTCTGTACGCATTCAAGATTTATCAGCTTACTTTTTGATAAGGTGAGCATTTCAAGACCATAATCTATCACTGACAGGATCACATGCTTGAACATTGTGAACAGCATTCATTGTTCCATGTCCACTGCTGCCATAATCTTGAGAGCACAGTCCTTTTTGGCATTTCTCTGCAAGTACCTCCACATGATCCCTAAAGGATAGGCTTCTATCGATCGAAAATATTGTCCAGACAGCACCATAAAACAACCGTTTTTTCTGAGTTTATGTTCCAGTACTGATGGTACCAGTCACAATCTGATTATATGTCCGTCTTGCCTTTCCTCTGAGTGTAGTGAGCCGGCTACACCCTCTGGTTACACCCAGGTGCCTCATTCTCTCCAGGCCATAATAATTTTGTTTCCCTACTAATTCCATTGTTTGTTCCCAAAGGGCCTTGACCACATCCGCTTTGTCATGTATTAATTCACCACTCAGTGATGCAGATCCAGCCAATCTGTCTACCTGTTTGTTCATTACCCATAACGTCGGCATGGCCTAGAGAAAAAATCCAAAGTATGCTCATTAACCATGACCTTCCCAGTGAAGCTTGCCACTCTGTTTGAAACATCCCTGCCTTCACCTTTCTCAGCATGCTTTCAGAGCCTGTTACATTTAAAACATGTGTATGCATCTTGTTCTCTAGCCACCAGAGAGCTGCAGTTACTGCCTCCACCTCCATTCTCTTGCCTATCCCCTGCCTATATGCAACATCATCGTCTGTAAAGGTCAATATCCTTCCAACATCTGGTGCTTCAAGTTCTGCAATCTTGCTTGTATACACACTGAAGACACTGGTGAAACTGCAGAACCCTGGTGTAGTCCCGGGGTGATGTTACATGGTTCTGAGGTCCACATGGTTATTCAGTTCACAAGCCATGGACAAACCGCTTTCTCCATGAGCGCAGATATCAAAATATCATATCTGACTCAATTGTAGACATCCTCAAGATCAAGTGCTGCCACAACTACCTCCTGTCTATTCTGGAACCCCTCATAACATCAAAAGCAAAAGTAACTGCATTTGGCCAGGTATCTTGCTGTGGTCTGTAACTACCAAAACCTTTTGGCAGGAGCTCTTTGCTGAAACCACTGAGTCTTTAATGGTCTTTGCCTGGTTTTGGAAGTGAGATTAAGAAGCTGTGTACCCAGTTCCGGGGTACTGAAGCTGTTCTGATGCTCTGGTTGAAGTAAAAAGCCATCTCCCTCAAGTCTTCATCACTCATGCTCTTCCTGTGGGCATACCTGACTCCGCTTGGTCCCGGTGCATGTCTTTTGCTTTTTGCAGTATACATTTTATATCCTCCACCCTAATGATATCCTGAAAATAATTATCATTTATAGTACTAGGCACGTTATCTCTAACAGAATTTCTAAGCTCCCTATCATTATGATCAGTTTGGGCTGTAAATCTCTTCAAAAGTACTTCCCCTTTATCTTTGTCTGTTGTCACTGGCATACCATTATCAGTGTATGAAATGCCTGTTGTAACAGGCCGATCTTTTTTTTTGGTGTGCATCTGTCTGTAAAGTTTCCAAAACCTACCTAGTGATTTATCCTCTCCAATTTCGCATACCTACCGATTTATCCATTCCAGTTTCGCCTACCTATTGATTTATCCCCTCCAATTTCGCTTATAAAATGTTCCCATTTAACCTTTTTTGCATCTGTGCACACCACTTGAACTCTTCTACTTTTTCTTTTTGAACTCTTTCTAGCTTCTCGACATTCTGTAATTGTTTAAATGCTGCTTGCTTTGCTTTCCATGCCTGTTCTACTTCTTGAGTCCACCACGGAGGCTGCAAAAAGCAGAGGTTTTGGTTCTGCTGCATACTTTCTGTAAAAGGTGTCCAAGAAGGGTACTGATCCTCTTATACTGATAAGTATTGTGCATACTCACAGCCATGCTAGTTTTAGAAATCAAGACTGAATATGGCACATGGTCACTTCCATTATCGCCATTTTGTGTCCAGCACTGCTGAAAGGGTAACTGCTGAAAGGGTAACAAACACCAAATCAATAGCTGTGTCTGCATCACCAGGTCTCGTTGCCATTCTAAATGGCCTACTGTCATCTACACAGACTAAGTCTGGACTCACTATAGCATTTGCTAAAGCATTTCCTAGTCTATTTTCACCAGTATTGTCCCATGCTCTGTTCTGTGTACTGAAATCCCCACAAAAGAGAAGCCTATTACCAGGGATTTCCTCCAACTCTTTGAGCCAGTCCTAATGTTCCTTTGTGATAAGAGAGTCAACAGCAGCATAAACATTTACTACATTACAAGATGTGACCCCATTATCTATCTGTATACCCTGAACCTCTAGTTTACTATGATTCCATTGCCTCATTTCAAGAACCTCATGCTTCAACCCATTCTTCACGAGCAGACATTGCACATGTCTTCCCAGTTGGGTAGAATTTATATAACTAATGTATCTAGGACACTCATATCTGGCCACTACTCTGTGTGTAGTATCTTGTGCTGCATTTTCTATCAGATCAACATTACAACATTTGCTGATGTAGACTGAGCAGAGATGCCCAGCTGAATTCCCCCCCTCCCCCCACCTCCCATGTCACTATGTCTATAACCCGACAGATCATACTGAATGTCAAGGGTCATGCTGGGTGTGAACTGCTTCCGCTTGTTGGAAAAGGTAACATTAGACATCTTGTCAGAGTATTGCAGTGTCAGGTCTTTGAGGCCGGCTGATCCCCGTTCTGTAACTTTGGCTCTGAGCCAGATAACAGGAAGTGATTCGATCCACTTCATCGTAACCTGTGTTTTTTGATGATAGCCAGACATGCATCGTCACTGCCAACCACATACAAAAGTGTCACTTAATGTATGGTAAACTAGACAGGACCGAACTTACCACCCTGACATGTGTGTACACTTGTACACTTACCTACACTATCCTACAGCATCACAAGCGACACTGACACATCCACATTTGTACATATAGCAAATTCCAACAAAGGCAACAATGTTTTGTTATTTTGTTATACATACTGAAGGTCGAGAAAAGATTCATCACATCTTAGGGTGATCGGTGCACACCAACTGGAGAACTTATATGTAAGACAATGCGATGCAGTTCATGTTGTTTTACAAACATTCTCTCGCCTCTCTAGAACATCACATATTTTAATGCAGTCATTAAATATATTACTTACACTGCTTGCAATTGAAATGATCCAATACCATATGATCTGGACATGCACAAACAGACCATTTTGGCACATAACTTTTCTTGACTTGAGGCACAGGAAGGCATAAATGCGAGCAGCCACCATTATCATCCCCACAATGATTCACCACTGAAATAAATGTGTATTTTAAAATTCACAAATAGGGGAACACATAGTCAGAGTTTGAAAACTAATTCTGAAAGATACAATAGAAACCTTCTTTAAACGATATCTAAAACTTTGGATAACAATACAGCATCTTATACTAGAAACCTTCAATAAATTACATCTAAAAAATTTGGATAACAGTACAGCAAACATATTACACTAGAAACCTTCTAGGGCAAGATGGCCAGTCATTATTGTGTTTTCTAACAGCCATTAATTATGCATAACGAGAATGAAAGTCATTCATTGTTTATAGTTAGTGTGATGCAGAAGTAACAAAGGAAGTCCATCTTTTTAAGATCTGTGCATCAGAGCTGAAACCATCTTGAAAATATGTTCAACAGCACGAGGTGGATTTGATGTATTTGTTGTCTACCTGACCACATTCAGCTATTGAAACAAGTCACAGATGAGAAGACTGCTGGTTTCAAATCTCTGGGTAAAATTTCTAAAACGGAGAAGTTGACAGAGTTCTGCATGATGATATGCAAAGACATATCACTAAAATTGTTCTGGTACTTGCATAGAAGCATGAAAAAGGCGCCAAATTGCCAGAACATGTTTAAGACATTTGTAATGCAAATGACATGGAGAAAAATGATGGTGTGCATGTGGATGAAATTAGGGCTGTGTTCAGGCGAGCAAAAAAGAGTGCACCGGGTCCGCATGGCATCTGCTATGGAGATATTTCTCAGCTGTCTGATAAAGAGTTGGAGGAACTGGCGAGTATCTACAACAGCAGTATTGAAAGTGCGACAATCGATGAAGAATGGCTGCATAGTTATCTGTTACCTTTGCCAAGGCCTGGTAAAGACCAGACAACAATACATGGCTACTGTGTAATCACAATGCAGAATACAACTGGCAAGCTGTTGGAAAAGATAGTTGCCAAGAAAATATGCCATCTTGAACAGTCAGGCCTTCTTCCACCCACCCTGGGAGGTTATCACCCAAACAGAGAGTTCTGGGGAAATGCAGTGATCTTTGCATATGATGTTTATGAGGGATTGCACTCGGGGATGGAAACTTGTGCTGCTGCAATTGGTCTTGACTATGCACACAACAAGGCACCATTTGACTTTTTGATTGGACAGAAGTTGATCTTAGTCTCAGCCTGTTTCTCATTAATTTGATCTCATCGGCTCACTTTGAGGTGTTTAAATGCGGTAGTTGGGCATCTGAACCAATAACCATACACCCCGATCTGCCTCAAGGTTAACTTTATCCCCTAAACTTTTCAACATTTTCACCATGAGGATCACAGGTGAGCAGATCAAGGACACTATCATAGGCTGATGATGTTCTGGTGTACCATCAAGGTAGAGACTGGAAGCAGATTGCCAAGGGCCTTCAGAAAGAACTTGATCACCTAAGCAGGTGGTTCAATGATGCCGGAGCGGTTGTCAATGTGTCAAAGTCAACTGTGCATGGTTTTCGCTGAATAACCATATTATAAACACAATAACACCTACTGTCTGTATTCAGAGATTATGGAAAGAACTTGTTCAGTTAAGTATTTAGGAGTGTGTTTTAAGCGTAGTCTTGCTTTTTATGAGCATGTGAACCACATGATAATGAAGAGAAAGGGAGGTTTGACGGCACTAAAGATTAAGGTTGCGACAAACTGTGAACATCACCTATTTTTCTTATACCTAGGGTCTGATCCTTTCTGTAATTGAGTACCCTCTAGCAATTCTGACTCTTAGCTATACACAGACAGACAGACTAAATCAGATACAGAATGAGGCCCAGCGCATTACACTTGGTTGCACAAAAAATACAGCATGCAGAGCAATGAGTTACCTGTCTAATCTTCCAAATATGGAAGTGAGAACAGTGATCTGCCGAACACGTGTGTATCTGTGTATCAGTGCTGACACACACCACCTATTACACAGTGAGATTCACAGGAAGAAGGGTAGCAGGTTGAAAAGAGGAAAATCTTGGGTGGGCCAGGCTGAGGACATTATTCAACAAGTTTGTTCAACTGAGGACATAGAACCTGGTGAGGGATGGATACGAGTGCCATCAGAGTTGGGTATATCCTTTTCAGTCTGCATAAAACTGGGTAAAGATTGCAAACAACGCCCATTAGTGGCTGAGGCAGAAGTGCAAGCCTTAATTCTTGAAAATTCTGCTAATGGAGGTGCAGTTATCTACACTGACGGATCTGTCATTCAACACGTAAAAAGTTCATGGGCTTTCACGGTTCTGGCTCAAGGGAAAACTGTAATAGAAGATAGCGGGTCTTTTGCCTCAACTACAAGTAGTTTGACTATTAAGGTGATGTTGGTAACAAAAGCAATGATGTGGCTAGAGACACAGCAGTTTTCGCATGCGTGCTTTACAAGTGATTCCATGAGCATGCTTAAGAAGATAAGAGACAGGATGGTTTCGAAGAAAATGGTTGGAGTCACTGATAAAATCTCGTCTGAAAAGAATTAGTTTCATTTTTGCGCCAGGACACTCTGGGGTAAGAGGGAATGAACAAGCAAACTGGCTTGCTGGCAGGGCCACAGTAGATACAGGAAAATCAATGGACCAAGCATTCCCAATGCTCTCAAGGAGGCAGGATGAGAAGATGATTCAGGAAACGACCTTGAATCAGCAACGCTCAAAAGATTACAAGAACTTCAGGTCAAAAGAGATGTCACCAAACATGAACACTATACACATAGCCAAAAAGAGATTATTTTTTCAGTCGCCACACCCTGGGGAATACACTGAAGTAGTTATCCAAGAGCTTATGTACTTGTCCGATGTGCAATGAGGACAATCTTTCGATTAACTATAAAAACTAGAAACCTTCTATAAACCATAGCTAAACAATGTGGACAACAATAAAGCAAACATATTAGATTAGAAACCTTCTATAAATTACATCTAAAATTTGTATAACAATACAGCAAACATACTTTGTTAACAAAATCATGCCTGACTGAGTTATAGTAGTTGAACATTTGAAGCAATTAATCCTTGTCATTGGAGGTAAGAAAATAATTCTTGCATGCTATACATAGCTAGTTTTAACATATGGCTAGGAATTCTGGAAATTAATAAACAAGCTAAACAATTTCTTGAGGCCTGGGAAGTATGGATTTACAAATAATCCTCAGAACTCCTTCTCTTCTTTTTTTTCTCTGGAATTCCTTCTCTTCTTCTTTTCTCTACTCCTGGAACACCTTGCGGCATCAGGGCAGGAAGAGATCTCTGGAATGGGCCATTCTGTTCACTTCGTATGAAGTACTTTTCAGTGTCTCTGATATTTCTGCAGTCCATCTTCTGCGTGGTCGACCTCTGGCTCTGTTACCATTGTATCTGTGTAGCACTGCTCACAGTGGTTCCCTGTCTGATGCCAATCTGGTTACATGGCCAAACTATTTGATTTGTTGTCTGCCTATAAAGTTCAGTATTGGTTCTGTGCCAACTCTCCTCCTGATATCATCGGTCCTAAGTTGAATTTTCCTCATTACACCTAGCATAAAACGTTAATATTTTATGACTATTTCCTTCAGTCTTCTAAAGACAATGTCCATGTCTGACATTGAAGGCACAGCGTTAGTAAAAATACTGTGTTGAAAATGTTCTTTTGGTGTTCATATTATCATGCTTGCATTTCAAAATTGGTGACATTTGGCCTAAAACTTGACTGGCTTTATTGTATCTTTGATTTCTTTATTAATTCTTCCTTCTTTTGAAAAAATGCTCCCCAGATATGTAAAATCCTTCACCTGCTTAAACTGGTGTTCATCAACTTTGATACTGGTGGTTCTTCCTTTTCTGGAGAATGTCATCACTTCTGTTTTGTCTACGCTGATCTTCATATCGTTGTTGTCACATTCTGAATGGAGTCTATTTATATGTTCTTGCAGTTGCACTGCTGTTGGTGCTATGACTGCCTGGTCATCAATGAAAAGCAATTAATTTAGTAATTCTTCTATGTTGTCCCATTAGCTGATTTTGTTGATGTATGTGATGAACAGTAGTGGTGATAGAACGCACCTCTGTTTCATTCTAGATGTAATGCAGAACTTTTCTGACATTCTTGTGTTTGTTCTAACTGCGCATTGACTGTTCAAGTATCACTTGGCAAAAAAAAAAAAAAATAGATAAAGCAACCCAGATATTTTGAAAGAGGTGAGGGTTCAAATACGACTTATCACAAACAACAGAAAGACAGGAATACAGCATGAGAAGATTCTTGATAGTCTTCTGTCATGGCGGGGTATCAGCACATGAACTGATACATGATGCTGAAGATGGCAGATTGTGGAGAGTCAGCAAGGTAGATGATGATAAATGGAACGCTAGCTTCAAAATCGCCTATCAAATAGGGTCCTAGCTTGAAAATAGGAAGACTAAAGTAATACTAATATGAAACAAACAGATCTCACTCAAATATATAGTTAATGTCAATGGCCTTTTTGTTCTGGACAATCCAATACTCTGCTACATGAATGTTATCAACAGGACTATTTATTATAAAGGTGGGCAATAATAGAAAAAATAAAGTTAGTTGAATTGAAGCGAAGTAACGGAAAAACACAATACAACACTACAAAAATAACAGTTTTAAAAAAAAAGGATGCTGCAGTGGCAAGCCTTCATGAGAACTACAGAAACAAAACTCAGCAACACAACAGAAAGAGGAAAAGGACAATGAAACAACTGTAATTCAGTATTAAAATATTATTAAAAAACCTGAAACATAAATAAAAATAACAGAATATTTTAAAATATGTGGAGCTCAAAGGGACTCTGTCAAGTTAAATTAATATACTGTCATTGTTTTTTGTTTGTTTCATGTTTTACATGAAAAAACATAACATTATTTATAAACCAATAAATACAAAGCCTTACCTAATGGTTGTCTGTAGATGTGATATACATGGATATCCATTGGTGACTTTAAATCCAGTGCAATGGTTGATATATTTTTATGATCAAATTTACTGATTCTGTGGACTGCATTTGTCATCCAGTCAGTCCAGTATAGGTAGTCTTCAAATACTGTGATAGCAAAAGGATGACCAAGTTTCCTATGGTCTCTCAATACAGTTTGGTAGTTGTTGCCATCCAGGTCAGAACTTCCAATGATATGCAGCTTAGCATCCACCCAGTACAGGCGTTGCTGAACGTAATCTATAACACAAACATCAAATGTAACTTTATTTAAGCAGCATAAGTAATTTTGTTCTTTTCAACAATCATCTTTCAAGGACTTCTCTCTGATATTTTATTCTTAGTACACCTTTCACATTATATCTTATCTAACATATTTCACAAAGGTTTTTCTGTACTAATGCTGTTGCCCAGCTTCAGTCTGTGGACTTAAACATCTATATCTGCTTTTTCTTCTTTACGTCCTCTTTTACTGCTTCAGGTGTCAAGGGAGATATAAGGTCCTGTTATGTGCTCTTCTGGCTGCTATAACCATAGACACATCGTAGTGCTGTAGAGTTTCTCTGATGTTATCTTCCCATCTTGTTCTTGGTCTACCTCTTGATCTATGTCCTTATCCTTTTTTGGTATATGTCTTGTATGGTATAGCATCAGAAGGCATTCTCTCCAAGTGGGCAAACCATTTGATCTGTTGTCTTTGTATGTAATTTAGAAATAGTTTTGTGTTGACTTGATCTCATATGACTTCATTCCTCATTTTATCTCTTCTTGTCACTCTTACAGTCTTTCTAAGACACCTTATTTCCATTGTTACAAATTTTTTTAAATACTTTGTTGTGAGTGACCACGTCTACCACTGATAGCATAGGGTGAGAATAAATTTGCTTAGTATGCTTTAAGAGGGGAGCTAGCTGTCCCAATACTTGGCCAGCTTTACTGCATCGGATGTTAATTTCTTTGTACGATTTACCATCTTATGTGAATGCTGTTCCAAGATATTTAAACTCAGATGCCTGTTTAATATATGTATGCTCTAATGCTATATTTAAATTCTGCTTCTTTTAGGCGACAAACAGAAGTGGTGATAAGTCACATCCCTGTCCTACTCCAGATGTTACTTTGAATGGTTTAGATGTTCCCTAATTTATTCTAACTACGCTTCTACAATCTCTATAAAGACTTTTGCAAACTTCAATGAGATGTTCACTTACTTCATATGGAGTCATTACTTTCCATAGCTATTGTCTATCTATCCTGGCAAAAGCTTTCTCCTGGTCTACAAATGCTACAGATAAGTTCTGATCATATTCGATGTTCTTTTCTATTAACTGTTTAAGAGTGATGATTGTATCTGTGCAGCTTCTATTTCTTCTGAAACCCATCTGTTCTCCTGTTAACTGTGATTCTATCACTGGTCGCAGCCTCGTTTCTATTATCTTGGCTTACATTTTCCCAACATGACTTAAAAGAGAGATGTCTCGATACTGATTGCATTTTTGCTTGCTTCCTTTGTGCTTCCACAATGGTACAACTATTGCATGTTGCCAGTCAATGGGAACAGTTTGTTGTACCCGTGCCACATCGAATATTCTGTGAAGCCATCTAATGTTCCTTTCACCTGCTTACAAAATGAATATCTTGAATTAATAATTAGCAATGATGGGGACAGTTGAAAGAAATTAGAAAGAAACTGGCTATAACAATATATAAGATGATCAACTATCTACATCAACCATCCAGAAGTTGGGCTAAGTTGTCACTCTTCAAGTCCAAGTCGAGTCCCAAATCGATGCCACTAAGTCTCAAGTCACCAAGGATGCTTAAAAATCGAATTCTGGGTCAGGTTATTTCATGTATAAATCACTTGCAAGTCGTACATGGGACAATACTTATGGATTAAACATTAGTCTGTTATAATAACAAAACAACAGCCAAATATTGTTAGATTTTGATTTTGTATATAAATTGCTGATTTGAATGCAAACAACTGTATATTGAAGGTATTGTTATATTAATAAACTTGCAGAAAACTTAAAGGTTGTCACAATAATTTACTATTATATTATTATTTTTATCTGATTACCAAACCTCATGTGTGGCCGGCTATGAAGTACAAGTCATCAAATCTACAAGCCATGAGTTGCTGGACAAAATCCCAAATCGTTACTTATGCGACCTAAGCTGCACTTGAGGTCATGTTACTTGAGTTTCGACCTCTGCAACTACCACAGAAATATTTATCTCTAAAATAAAAATATTTCATCTCTATCAAGTGCCTTGCCGACTGGCGTGGGGGATCATGCCTTTCCCCATTCTGCGATCTGCATGTATCAGTTCGCGTGTTGACACCCCTCCATGCCACGACAAAAACCCGTCAAGAATCTTCTTGCATTGTCTTCCTCAGTCTTTCTTTCCACAGATTTTTCCAGTTGTCACAACATGTTCCATTTTCCCTCTTCTATAGCATGACAAAAAATGATGGCTGTCTTTTTCTGATTGATAATTTTTTTCTGGGCACTTGCCTCTTTCCTACCTGTTATAAGAGCCGGCCTACTAGTAGGCTTGTCCACCAGGTGGCTCATGGTGGAACGGCCTCTAGGCTAGTCACGAATATATTGAATAAGTAGCCATGGACCAAAACAGGTGGTGGTCATTGAGAGGTGGCGAGCTAGCGGGTGGGACTGCTAGATCTATAAAATACCTCAAAGCTGCGTTACATGGCCATCAGTGAGTAAAAGGCCCTATTATAACCTCTTCCCCCTGCTGCCTTGCAGGGCATGTCTCTTTAGCAAAGGCTATTGGAGTTAAACCATAAACAAATGGGCGAAAGGCAAGGGGAAAACACCGTTGAATTTTCCCTAGTAAATCGTGCCTGTACAAACATATATCTATTCCATTTTTTAAGAAGATAACACTATGTAATACTTATATGACTGGCTACAAACATTTGTTGATCAAAAATTTTAAAGTACACTGCAAGCTGTTTAGATTTAAAAAAAGAATTTTAGCACCAACTCCATCAGCAAAAGAACTACTGTGACAGAATGCCATATCGAGCTGTATAAATAATTTAAGTGTGGATGTAAAGGTGCGTATATGGACAAAACAGATAAGCAATTAAGAAAACAAGCAGTTGAGCATATACCACCTTTTCTTCTCTAGACCTGTTCTGCCTTTTAGTATAAGATTTGAAGAGGCATCAAGTGTAAGCCTTGGCATGTGCTCCAAAGATGCTGGTATTTACGGACTGAAATATTCCACCTATCCATTGCTTGTATGCCCTGCCCTCATTTTCCTACTTTTCCGGCACTACTTGACTTATAAGTCACCTCCGGACTCGCAAAAATTCAACTGCAGTTTCATGACGGATGAAAGAAAGAGTAATCATCACTTGTGATCAAGGAATGAACAAATGGCTGACCTCTAGCTCTGCTTCAGTTGTTTGAGTGACAGGGCTCTCTGTGGTTCACTGTCTGGTGGTAGTCTTGACATATGTCCAAACCATCTGATTTGTTGTCTCTGGATGTAGCTCAGAACTGGTTCAGGTCCAACTTGTTTTCTGACATCACCATTTCTAATCATGTCTCTTCTTAGTTATATTTAGGATTCATGATAGACATTTCATTTCTGTTTTATTATCTTTCTTTTTCATTATGTTGTTAATGTTCATGTTTGACACTGGTAACACAATGTTAGTAAAAAATACTGTACTAAATAGTGCTCTTTTGCTATAAACTGTTTTATGTTTTGTCTGCAATAGTGGTGACATCTGTCAAATGAATTTATCTGCTTTATTAATATCTGTCGGTTCAGTCTCTAAAGGAGATGTAGACGACCTAAGGAAACCTGGAGATGGACAGTAGAATAGGAAATGAAGGAATGACATGGGATACCATGGGCAGGAAAGCAGCAGCCGGTCTGCTGCCGGTCTGCTGCTATCCTTATGTGTCAACAGCAACATAAAGAGGATATAGAATAGACAGTTCTGTCTCTGCTTCCATTTTTCCATGTGATGACATTATGCTTCCTAGACACTTGAACTCTTTTGGTTGCTTGAGTTGTTGGTTTTCTGTGCATATCTTGATTGGTTGTCCTGTTCTTGCAATGGTCATAATGTTTTTTTTTTAAATATGTATGTTTTCACATTTTGTGCTTCTGTGTTTAGATTATCCAAATATCTCTACAATTCTTCCTCTGTAGTTGCCATGAGAGGTTAGCCATCCATCAAGAGAAGTATATTACACTTATTGTCCTAATTTACTTGGGATGCTTTACTAATCTGTCTTCTTCTTCTCTTCCACCTTGTACCACAGTGAAGTGTCTGGGAGAGATGTAATGTTCGTTGATGAGCTTTATCAAGAGCAATATTAAATTTATTCGATCTGTATATGTTATAAATAGCAGGAGGGATGGAACATATTCCTGATGGACACCGATTGTAAATATAATATTTTCTGTCATTCCAGAATTTGATCTCACTACACCTTAGCTGACCCAGTTAAATTTTTTTTTTTCCCCATGTAGTGTGTTATTATATTCTACTGTTTTTCTCTGCTAACTGTGGGTGTAAAATTGGCATCAGTTCAGCTTTTGTTTTTCTCGACTTATTTGTAATTAACAGAGCTGAACTTCAATAATGGAGCTATTTTTCCCCAACAATTTTACAAAAAGTCTTCCTAGCAGTGGCTCAGCAGTTATATTCCTATGTATGGGGCATATACCATTGTGAGTTGTAAAAACAATGTGAACTAAAACTAATTTTAGAAATTATGCGCAAGGGACTGTTAGAAAAATCACATCTTGTCCATCCATACGCCATTTTTAAACTTTGGCCTTACAGTTAACAAGGAAAATAGAATTTGAAATTTAGTATACATTGAACAATGGTAGATTACTTGTCTGTGAAGCAGCTCTTATCAAACGTTCTTATCCAGTTTTGTAAAGACAAAAAAAGACATTACTGTAAACCTGCTTTTAGTGATTAGTCAGGACTGTCATCACAGTACACCAGACAGATCACAGATGCTCTGATCTCCCATTCAAAAGCTCCACAACCATAAAACAACTGATGCTGTGTGTTTTATCCTAATTATTCAAACATCTTGTCCCCACGGTGAAATGTTCATTTCTTGTAGCTCCAGGTTGTACCCCATGTCCATCAGCCTGGACAGGGTTATAGACTGATGCTTTTTTTTCCTATCGTTTTTGTGGTTAAGTGCTGCGCAAGGCACTGACAACATCGCTTCTGTCCAGTACCGGACCAGCCATAGTAACTGCAGTGTCTGCAATATAATCTGCAAGCTGGTTGCCTTGAACACCTGCATGACCCGGCACAAAGATGAAGATTAGGTCAGCCATTCGCAAAATGCTTAGTGATACAATGCATTATTTCCGATGAACCCAGCCTGGATTCTCTTAGGCATATACATTGAGTCACTAAATATGGACTCATGTGTGAATTCTTGAAAACCCAGCTTGGATTCTCTTTGGCATATACAATGAGTCACTAAAAATGGTCTCATGTGTGAACTCTTGAAAACCCAGCCATGCTAATGTCCTTGTTACAGCCACTATTACCATTGTTAGCTGCTAGCTGTAACAGCAAAGGTACCTACCATTCATGTCTTTGATGATTTCTCCTCTTGAGCTCACTATGAATGCCCATGAACTTTGCTTGTCCTGAACTAGCGATTTATTCGGGTACACTACAGCATCACCTTAATCTGTGTGATTTATGGGTTATCTTGAAGGTACTCCGGACATGTTCATAGGGGTTTAGATTCTCCTTTCAACCCATACGAGGGGAAGTCAACAATTATCTATACTTTTGACATAACTCTTCTTACATTGTCCACAGTGACTTCTGTCCTCGCTTATTTTACTGTTATACTGTTGTGGTAATGCTATGAAAGTTTGATCCTAATTCTGACATTTTTCTTCCGTCTGTTGCAGACAGATCATGGCCGCTCCATTTGAAGTTTGCACCAAAGAGGAAGAATAAGCACTGAAATGATTCCTCTGGTTGGATGGTGTCAAAGGCTCAGAAATTCATCGTAGACTATCATTGCTAATGTGGGGGAAGTGAATAATCATGTAAAACTGTGTTTTTGTGTACCAAAGAAGTTTAAAAGCAGTCCAACAAGTGTAACATATAAGGAGGGAGCAAGACAGCCATCAACCTGCACTACAGATGAAAAGTCAGAGAACGGATACAAGAAGATCGTTGTTCGACTGTGAGGATGATGGCAGATGAATTGGATGTTAATAGAGAGACCATTCATAAAAATTTTAGTGGATAATTTGGGCAAGAAAAAAGTTGCTTGCCGTTTTGTTTGTACCAATTCCTTGTCTGATAACCAAAAACATCATCGTGTTGAGTACGCAAAAGACATTATCAAAATGTGTCACAGAAATAAAGATTTCTTAAATCTGGTTGTTTCAGAGGATGAAACATGGATTTTCTGCAAAATTTCTGGTGAAATGTACTACTACTATTACTCTAGCTGCATCTGCTTCACATATCATGTGTCTCTTGTGACTCAAATTTTAGAGTCAGATTTTTTCATGTAGATGTCTGTTTTTAATAACAGTGTTTTACTTCATTGTGAAGACATTGATGCAACTGCAATGTATAAATTTTTTTTTTTTTTTAATTGATCACCGGCTGTGAATTTAAGTGGAAGGTCCCGGTTAATCGTCCGCTTGGACTTTTGGCTTCACCTGGACCTGATTTTTGCGTGTACAACCGTTTTTCATTGACTGTGGCCATTGTTTTGTGTGGGTCGAGACGTTGCCTGATTTGTGTGGTGTCCACTTTGTCTCCCTCGCCGCAGGTATTGCCCTCGGAGTACCCCTTTGGGGCAGCGCCCTGTGGAACAGTTAGCCCTCAAGGGAAGGCAGGGGCAGATCATGGGCATTCCCCGCCATCCAAGGAGGCTTCCATGCATGCAGAGCCGGCACATGGCGCTCTGGTTCTGGGCTAACCCAAGGAATCGTCACGTCCTGCACATGCCTGCTTAACCTCACAACCGTATCAGGCCTCCCGCTCGACAGGGGCTGCGCCCTCTGGAAGTCAGCGGGGAGCAGCCCGTGGGTTTTGGACTTTTGTGACCACATAGATTGGTACATTCTTTTTTCCTCGCACGTTAGATTTCTTTGACGAGCCGTTAGCCCGACAGAATTTTACATCCTGCACTCGGGCGAATGGGGTCTTTGGGTGTGGATATTCGGTCTTTTTCAGTTCAATACAAATTTTGATGGTCAGATTTTGATCCGTATGATCTAGTTTTGTCGGACAATTAGGCTTAGCCATCCAAAGGTTGGTTGCTGTTGTGGTGTACCTCAGCGCGGTGACGACGACACTGAGGGTTAACAGAGGATGTGCAGTGAACAATGTTCTCTTTACTCCGCAGTCTTTTAACCAAGGGTTGTAATTTTGGCTGTACGTTTGGCAAATCTACTCATGTTCCTAATGAGTTTTGGTAACATTTTTCACCCAAGCTTTTGGGGGCGGGCTGATGAGAGCCACAAGGACACATCACCTCTGGGGGCCACCGAACTCTGAGATCCCCTGACAGCTCTGTTAATGCTCATTTGAGACATTATCCGTGGCGCACGACGAGGACGTGCTGTAGGGGTCTTGCGTGAGGTTCCGTACAACCAGGATAGTAAAGGACTGGCGCCCGAGTGACGTACGGAGTATCTCCTTATACACATCATGTTGGACTTAACTTCCCCTCACGCCTGTGACATAAATCACCGCGCCACAATGTATAAATGAATAGCTTAGCTCATGTGGTCCCAGACAATTTTGACTTCAACTAATCATATCTTTAGAAGTTATTTCTTAAACTAATACATGTTAGGATCTGATGAAGTGACAGTTATAACATTGTAAAGCAAAAGGAGTGAGTGGCAACTGGAGTAGTGTGGGTTCATATAAACTCGAATGGTGGCCTATGGATTTAAGAAAATTTGATCATTCTAAGGCAAAATAAAAACGCATGGTGAGTTGTTTGGCACCAAAACAGTTTATCTATTCTGAAACTACATGGATTTTTCAATGCGCTCTGATAGTGCATCGTCTTTCACTTACACTAAATACTGTACATTCAGGATTTTAATGAATAATAAATTTTGGTGTACTAAATTAATTAATTATGTTCTGGCTAATAAAAGATTAACAGATGATTAGAAGAAAATACTGTCTTGACAATTCTGTATAATTTTCATGCATATATCTCTCAATCTTTTAAAACTCACCAATAGTGAGACCATTTGGCCATGAAATGTCCTTCGTCACAATCTCTGTTCTATGCTGCCCATTCATCCCACATTTTTCTATTCTAGGCTTTCTGCCCCAGTCTGTCCAGTACATCCAGCTAAGTTGTAAACAGCATACAGTGATAAATTACTTAAGAGAAACTAGCAAGCAAACATAACAATAAACGACATGACAATAAGTTTAATTGAATATAAGATAACATGACAAGGAAGTACATTAGATCACGACAATAGGGCAAAGTAAAACATGACAAGGGAAGTACATCAGAAGATAAAAATAGAGCACAATAAAACAAGGCAATAAGGGCACATTCAAACACGGCAATAGGGCACAATAAAACAAGACAAGGGTGTGAATAAGAAGACGAAAATAGGACACAATAAAACATGACAAGGAAGTAAATTAGAAAATAAAAATAGGTCACAATAAAATATGGCAGTAGGTCACAATACAAAATGAGCTCCTCAGAACATGACAATAAGGTACAATGAAACATGACAGCAGGGCAAATAAAACATGACAAAAGGGTACATTAAAATATGGTAATAAGGTATGTTAAAACATGCTAATTGTGGCACTGGTCACTTTCATTCTGTGTATCTTTAATGTCATCAATCTATATCCTCTATGAGTGCCCTCTTGGGTCCCTGTGTTGATAGTTCCTGTGGCTGCATTTTAATAAAATATCCAAACCATTTTATCTTTTGCTTCTCAATTAGTTTGTTCTTCACACAATCTGTTTAATAGTATGATTTCTTATGGTTTTCCAAGATAGCAATGTAAACAGTGTGTTATTCAATGGATGTAGCATTTTTCAGTGTTCTTAATGTGATTTATGTGTATTTCAGTGTTCTTTCAAAGATGAAACTGCGGAAGGCCCAGCAAATCAACAGTGGATTTAAAAATCCACAAAACATCTGCTCTAGAAACTTTATGAGACATTAGGAAATTCATCAAACCTTAACAACAAACAGGGCTCGACAATAGGTCAGCCATCTTACACTAATTGTAAACAAACCAGCAAAGCTACTAAAATCAGAACATGGAATGTTTGTTGTCTTACAAACAAAGAAGTAGAAATAGTAGAATTCATGATGAAATTTAAGACTGATGTAATAGGAATATCAGACTGCAGGAAAAAACGGCAACACAACAGAACGCAGACACCAAATGAACATCGCTTTTATAGATAAAACCCAGCTAGAAAGACTGGACCAAGTACAAAATGATGCAGGCACAAGACTCATACTCGGCTGCACAAAAGACACCTCCTGCAACGCCATGCTTCATGTCCTGGGTTTGCCAACGATGACTAGCAGATACAATGTCGCACTGGTCAAGGCGTACATTAGGGTATCGGCAGATGTTAACCACCCACTGCACAAAGCTATACATGAAACAAAAGAAACGCATCTCAAAAGAGGCCGCTCCTGGATGTCAAAGGCTGAGGATTTAATCCAGCAGCTATGTGACCTAGACGTGATCAGTCATACAAAAGAACGGACGAATACACCAGTAGACATGCTTAGCATCTCTAAGGTTGTCATCACACTCCGAAGGTACTGCAGGGATCAAATTCCCGTGGCCGTAGACAGAGGTAAGGGAACTGATAGATCAGCATTCAGACCCAGAAGATATCATCATCTACACAGATAAATCCGTGAAACGCGGATCAAGGTCAGTGTAATGATGTTATAAATAGGGATAATGTCAGGGGATGATTGGCATAACTGGGGAAGTCCCTGAGAGCATGTGTTTCACGGAGATATGGTGAAACGACAGGAAAGAGTGTCACGTGTGAATGAGGAGATCTGGGGGATTGAGAATCAGGCGGGCATTCGGTGACTGGGCCCCAGAGAGAAAGGATGGAAAATGAAGCTGTGAAGATGAATGGAGAATGACTAGAGCATGTGGATTTGAATCGGCGAGGAATGAATGATCGAGAAGGCCAGCTGTGAATGGTACCCTGTTTGATTGTCAAAGCCAGCTGTGAATATGTCAACGTCTATTGTCCGAATGCTGTAAGTGGATTCACCTGTGATTTGTGTATTGAGCTAACGTGTAAATAAACTCGTGAAATGTGCCGCTGGTGTTAACCGTTGTTAGACGTTGTGTGACCATGAAGAGGATCATGTCTGCTTGATTGAGTTGTAACCCTCTAGATATCAGAGCCAGTGTTAACTCTGCACCATAGATAGCCAGTGTAGAGGAGACACAAAAGGGCAGTCATTACATTGGGGACCCGTCCTAAGTGCGAATACATTGTAAGTTATAAGTGTAAGTTACAGTGCAGGCATGTTATAACTATGCCAGTACATTAGACGTAGTGTTTTTGTGGACAGAAGTAAAATTTAGGCAAATACCGGCAGCCGTAAGTTTTGAGTGACTATGTGTGTTGGAAGATGGAGTTTAAAGAAATGTCGGGGTATTATGTAAGACCAGGACATGCTGTCAAGGGCATTAAGTAAAACCGGGACAACTGAATTCCAGACTCTAGTCATTCTGAAACAAACAAGCTAGCCTGAGAAAAATGGGCAGAAACACGGCGAAGCAATACTGGGTAATGTATTCACTTCACGTGTGAAAAAATTTTACACGTTTCATCCCGCGGGAACGCTTGTTCGTCGCTGGAAGAGACTGTAAGCTGAACTTTTGACCCTTGTGGTGGGTAATCCACGACGGAAAATTGTCAGCAACGGTATCCCTGTGACTGTTGTTTGACGTGGGTTTTGTTCGTCAAACAAGAGGTCATAAACCAGAGATACGAATTTTCGGACTAGATTTCACCGCAAGAACACTGCATGGCCAGGGGCCAAGACGGCACTCAGTTACAGCGAGCAAGGTCATCAACAACGGTCACGTACAACACAGTAGCAGATAAAACGTCATCAGCGACAGCTAACTCGAGGCAACCGTACAGCACACCAGCCACAAGTGAATGCCTCAGGTTAAGAATACTTGTCAATAAAAAAGAACGGGGTCCATCAGTACCAGCAGTAGTACTTTTACTACTAAATGTTTGTAATACGTCCGTATAGGTGAGTTCGTGTGTATTGTGTAGACAAGGAAGAAGTAGTGTTTATCAACATTAATTACGTCACGAAATGTTTACAATTTATAATGGATAGACAGGAAAAACAGTGATTAATGTGATAGACTATGACTATTCAGATTGTAGAGTAGAACTACATACATTCTTTGTAAGAAAAGTATGTCAGTGAGAATCTAACATTTATCAACAGTTTGTGGTGACAATTAGTGAAATTAATATGCGCTAACTGTGAACATTTAGTGATCTCTGCCAACTGATCAACTTCAGGGTAGAAAGACTTTTGGACATAGTTGAATTATTGAATGAGCATAAACTAATAATAGTCTTTTAAGATCATCTGCAGACTTAGACCACGACAGAAGACAAGAGCGTGTCCAGAGACAGTAAAGACGTGCAGTGGAGCATCAAGGGCCATAAACCTAATCCAGTCCATTCCAACAGCAGAAGAGCAAGGGAGCCATCACCAGGACCAAGGAAAAAGAATCAACTCATTACATTGTTACATGCTTTCTTTGTTCTATTTTCAGGTTCTTTGATTGTGATATTCTATTATTCTATTTAAGTAAAATAGATAATTTTTGTTTATTTATCAGTAGAGTATAAAAAGTTGTCAGGGAATATAATTAAATTTAAAATCTCAATTATTTAGTTAAAGAAGGGTTTAAATTAAATAATACGGGAGTTATCTTAAAGTTAAACAGTTTCAAAAGTAATAAATTACAGTAATCAGTTCTAAAATGTCAAACCTAGCAGAATACATAAATCTAGGAAAACAGTTAGGGTTATCAGGAGAGGAGTTAAGAAAATTTTGTGAAGGAAGAGAACAGGAGGACAAAGAACGCGAACGTGAGCTTAAAGAAGCACAAAGGGTTCAACAACAATTGGATCGTGAAGAAAGGGCCGCAGCACGCGCCCAGGAAGCAGAAGCACGTGCCCACGAAGCAGCAATGAAACAGCAAGAGGCAGAATTGAGAGAGAAACAATTACAACAGGAAGCAGAAGCACGCGCTCACGAGGCAGCACTGAAAGATAAACAGTTACAACATGAAGCAGCAATGAAACAACAGCAATTAGACCATGAGAAAGAAATCAAATTGCAAGAGTTAAAACTTGAACAACAGCGGTTGACAGCACAAATAGAGGCAGACAGACAAAAGGTTGAAGCACAAATAAGAACAAAAGAAATGGATAATGAATCCAAAGCAGAACTGGCAGCACAAAGGGAAAGAGCTAAAGAAGAAGAACATAAATTTACAAAATACAAAGGATTAATAAAGAATTTTGGTGAAAAGGATGACATTGGATCATGGATTTCAGCATTTTTACTACAAGTTCGGTTTCATAAAATTCCAAAAGAAGATTGGGCAATACTGTTCCAAAGACACCTTGGAGGAGAACCGTTAAAAATACTGGAGACAGTGCCAGAAAATTTACGACTTGATTTTGATTATATTAAAGACCGGATAATGAGACACTATGACCTACAAGAAGCAGGATACAGATTGCAAATAATTGATTTAAAACCAAAGTCAACTCAAACATTTGTTGATTATATGTCCGAAGTTCAGACAACTTTTCAGAAATGGGTGGATTCAGCCAAAATTAACAACGACTATGATCTGTTAGTTGATTTACTATTAAGAAGTAAATTGCTAGAATCATTACCAAAACCTATGACCACATTTCTGAAGGAACACAAACCTACTTCGTTAAAACATCTTGAACAACTAGGAGAAAATTATTATGCAGCACATCGTGATATTTTTCTCATACCACAAAACACTGATATATACTCAGGAGCCAGTGCCGAAGGACAAAAGTCATATGAATCAGGATATAATAGATCAGCATATCCGTCCAGAAGAAAATTTAATGGAGGAAGGAAAATAACAATAATAGATTGTGACATATGTAAAAAAAGGCACGGTAATGAAACCATATGCGACGCCAATCAATTGTATGAACAAGAAGTCAGAAAGAAAATTGAAAACAGGAGGAAAAAGGTAAAGAGATATGATAGTACAAGTAAATGCTGGGCTTGTGGA